CCTGATGCTGTCTCTACCCCCATTCAGAGAGCTGGAGAGTCTGGTCCCAAGGCTGGGAGTGAAGTTAGCCAAGACCCCAATGCGCACATGGGGTCCCCAGCCAGGCTTCACCTTTGCCTCCCTTCGGGCCCGAACCTGCCATGTTTGTCACAGGCACAGCTTTGAAGTGAAGCTGACACCCTGGTGAGCAGCCTGCAAAGATGGAGTGAGAGGGAGGAAGACCCTAATAGTTAGGCAAATAGAGAGAAAACAGGCCGGTGGGGGCCCCAGCAGACAGACAAAGAGAGGGACTGGGAAATAAGAAGATGAAAAAAAATAATAAGCTGTTACAGGCAGAGTATAAGGAAAAACAGACTGCGTGACCTATGGGCAGCTGCAGGGCAGATGGACAGTGGACAGAGGACCTCCAGAGGTTAACACTGGGTGCCCACCATCCCTGTGATCCCAGCCCCCAGTGTAGTGCTGTCTTATACTGTGGAGAGGCTTGTCTCCGGGCCGACTGGCAGCGATGCCCAGATGATGTGAGCCACCGATTTTGGTGCCCAAGGCTTGCAGCCTTCATGGAGCGAGCTGGAGAACTGGCAACCCTGCCTTTTACCTACACCGCAGGTACCAAAAAGAGGTCGGGATGGTGGGGGAAACTGAGACCAGGTGTTTGGGACTGGGGACTTGGTGCCTGGGAACAGAGTCCTGGGGCTGAAGTCTAAGTGCCTGGGGCTGGAGTCTAGATCCCTGGATTAAGGGCTGGATGTGGGGTATTGGGGGCTGGGGGTTAGACCCCTAGGGCTGAAGACAGGGTCTCTGGAGCTGAGGACTGAGGCCTGGGTCCCTGAGAGCTTAAGGGATTTGGGAGTAGGGATTCAAACACTCACTTCCCAGCTCTACCACTAACAGGTGACCTTAATCAAACTACTTCTCAGAGCCTCAGTTTCCTCATCTGTAAAATAGGAATAGTAACAAATGTTAAGACCCAGGGAACTGCTATAAGGATTCTGTGGGTTTGATGACTGCTACATTGTAAACACTCAGAAATGTTAGTTGGCTCCATGACCAGAACCAGACTCAGACCCAGGGTCCCTGGGAGAGGCTGAGGAGAGCTACAGTCTGAGCTCCTAGCCACCAGGCCCTCAATCCCTCCCCTCCCCCCCTCCAGAGGTGACCAGTGAAACCTTCAACAAGGAGGCCTTCCTGGCCTCGCGGGGCCTCACTCGTGGCTACTGGACCCAGCTCAGCATGCTGATTCCTGGCCCTGGCACACCGAGGCACCCCTGGGGCAGCACGCCATCCCTCAGCCTTCTTCTCGGTGGTGCGTGGGGCCTCTCTTCAGGCGTGGGCCCCTCAGCGTAGAGGGAAGGATGGGAGAGAAAAAAGTTGTCCTGGTCCCAGAGAACCCCTCCACAGTCACACCACCAGGGCCATTTCAGGCCTTTCCCCGATCCTCAAAGAAGTCACCCCCACCCACCCTATCCAGAAGCCCCCTCCATAGGGAACCCCCCATTTCCTCTTGCTGCAGCTCCAGGCTCTCCCTCAGGGAATACACATCCTTTAGAAGGAAGAGACAGATGAGCCAGGCGGGGTCTCCCTGACACCAGGCTCCTCTTCTTTTCATCCTCTCAGGAGATCCCTACCAGCTTCTCCAGGGGGATGGGCCTGCCCTGATGCCTCCTTTGCCCCCAGATCCACCCAGAGGCCTCTTTGGTGAGCTGGAGGGGCCCTGAGAGAGCTAGGGGTAGGGACAGGGACTGGAGGGCCAGCAGTCTGGGTGGCTGAGAAAAAGGGGGCTATTGGACGGAAGGGGTTGGGATCCAGGCCTGGGGTCAGGTCCCCAGTAACCCACTCTCCCCAGGTTCTTGGCAGGATTACTACACATGGCGGGGCCTCAGCTTGGACTCCCCCGTGGCTGTGCTTCTCACCTACCCACTGACTGTGTACTACGTCATCACCCACCTGGTGCCCCAGTCCTGTAAGGAGAACCAAGGCAGGGGGAGGAGCGCAGGGAGGAGGGGGAGCTGGTAGGGGACAAGAGGGAGGAGGACAGTATTCTTAAATGGCTAGCTTCTCACCCAGTCCCTGAGCTCAACATCCAGAACAAACAGTCACTGAAAATCCATGTGGTGGAGGCCGGGAAGGAGTTTGACCTTGTCATGGTGTTTTGGGTAAGTCCCTCCAGGCCTGATGGTTGGGCATTTGGGTGTGGGGGTGGACGCAGGGTGGGACCCAGATCTGTCTTCTCTGTCCTTCAGGAGCTCTTGGTCTTGCTCCCCCACGTGGCCCTGGAGCTGCAGTTTGTGGGTGACGGCCTGCCCCCTGAGAGTGACCAGCAGCATTTTACCCTGCAGAGGGTGAGGGCTGAGGGGGGGCTCTCATCCTGCTGTCATCATGATTGGGCCCTCCGCTTCCTCTCTCCCCATCCCTCTTCCCTCTCTTACCTAATGCATCTGCCAGTACCCTAACTTCCAGTGGTTTCTCCATCCCACTCCTGGCTCCCCAGAATGGCCCCGAAGTATCTGCCCGTTCTGGTCCTGGGGTATCAGCACGGCTCAACTCTGGGACTAAAGAGAAGGGGGGCCACAGGGACCTGCAGATCAAGGTGTCTGCCCGGCCCTACCACCTGCTCCAGGGGCCTAAGCCTGACCTGGTTATCGGTAAGAGCCTGGAGTATGAGTGTGGGGAAGGTGGGAGAGAAGAAGACCATAGGAACCAGCTTCTCCCTGCTCTCCCTTGGTCTGCAGGATTTAACTCTGGCTTTGGTCTCAAGGACACTTGGCTGAGCTCACTGCCCCGGTTACAGGTGAGGGATGAGGCAAAAAGGAACTTTTCACCTCCTGCTCAGCCCCTCCTCTTTTTCTGAAAGTCTCTCCGTGCCATCATCTGCTCCACAGACATGGGGTGCGCCCACGGGTCCTCTTGCCCCTCTCTGTGTCTGTCTGGTGCTTCTCCCTCATCCCTGTCCGTCTGGGTCCTCAGTGTTCAACCCAGTCTTGGATCCCCGTGGCTAGGGAGGTACCTGAGGGGAAGGAGCCTCTTGAAGTTTGTCTGAGGCCCCGCCCCACCCCCAGTCCCTCCGAGTGCCGGCCTTCTTCACCGAGAGCAGCGAGTACGGCTGTGTGATGGACGACCAGACCATGGCGGTGGCCACAGGAGGGGGCACCAGCCCTCCACAGCCCAACCCCTTCCGCTCCCCGTTTCGCCTCAGAGCGGGTGACAATTGCATGCCTTGGTAAGGGCCAGAGACCCTCCTTATTTCCTTCCTGACCTTTAACTTCTTACTCCGGCTGTGCATCCTAAAAGGCCCACCTCGACCCTCGTCTCTGCTCTTCTGAGACCCTCCTCGCCCCAGCCCTACAACCCGCCTTCTCTGCCTCCACTACTCACCGCCCCACTAGCGGGTCTCGACAACCCCACCACACCCCTCTTTAGATCCAGCTCACAAAATCTCTCCAACTCCTCTCCCACCTCCTACCCCTAAAAGACCCCGCTTCCCTCTGCCTGGCCAGCCCCTAAATCTAGCCTCATCTCCTGGAACTTGGGGCCCACAAACCCCGCCCCTTGGGAATCCCGGCCTCTTGGCCCCGCCCTTGACGGCCACGCCCCCTCAGGTACTGCAACGCCTTCATCTTCCACCTGGTCTACAAGCCCCCGCAGGGGAACGGGGCTCGCCCTGCGCCCAGGCCCGCACCCCCAGCCCCAACTCCCGCCGCTCCTCCCGTCCCCGCCCGAAGGCGCCGAGGAGAAAAGAAGCTTAGGCGGGGGGCCCGCCGGCGGAGATGAGGGCGGAGAGGTAGCAGTCCACCCGTCCCCCAACACGCCTCTGAAAGGAATACGAAAATACTCAAGGCCGGGGAGTAGGCCGGTTGGAGGAACACGAAACGGTAAATAAAATTACTTGTTTGAAATCACTGAGTCAGACGCTCATAACTGGGTCATTAAACGGGGAAGGGAGAAACGGACTCAGATAATTTCTTTTCCTCCAGCTTCCCTCAGCCCCTCGACGGCTCTACCCACTCTTACTTGGGACTCTGACCCTCCTTGGTAATCTCAAACTTCTTCTAATGGATATGTCGATAAGTCATTTTCCGTCCCCAGTAACCCTCAGGGACCTGCACCAAGGCAAGCCAAGACCAAGAAGCAGAAAGTGGCTTCTCACTGGGGGGGCAGGGGAAGCGTACAACCTCCTAGGGGCACACAGACCTCTTGGTTTAGTGAAAGGCCCCAGCCACCCAACTGTCCAAGTTAGAAACATGGCGGCCATCCTTGAGTCCACCTTCTCTCATCCCTCATATCCAATGAAGAACCAACTCCTGCTGAGTCAGACTCCTCAAGCCCCTCCCATCCACCAGTGTATGCCCAGTCCCACTGCAAACTCCACCATACCTCAGTCTCCACATTTCAGCCAGCATATTCCTTCTAAAACATTCAATTTACCTGCTTAAATACCTTCCGTGACTCTCCACTTCTAAAGTCCCCTTGAGTATGGGCTGGACTTAGTGACTCTCACTAAGTATAGGATCGGAAAAATAGCAGAGAAATCTGGCAGACACCACCTTAACCAAGTGACTAAGGTTAATAAGAAATAGTAAGTCATGTTGACATCATGTGCTCCCTGACATGATGCAATGAGAAAGCCACATCACCTCTGTAGTATTCTTCCCAGAAATCCATAACTTCAGTCTAATCATGAGAAAACATCAGACAAATCCAAATTGTGGGACAGTCTACGCCTGACCACTATTCTTCAAAAGTATCCGAGTCATGAAAGGCAAGGAAAGACCAAGACACTGTTGATGTGGGCTTGGCGAGCCAAGGAGTTGAAAGAAAGATTTCTTGGACTCTCAAGGTCTGGCAGTCGTGCTCTTTTATTCAGAGAATAGCATGGAGTAGCATGGGGACAGGACCCATGGGCAGTAAGAGCTGCAATGGGTTGAGGGTAGGGCTAAATTTATAAGGCATAGGTATGTGAGTTATTCTTTACAAGACAAAGGAAAGATCATGAAAAAAATCATTAAAATGGCATCAGTGCAGGTGGGGTCTGCTTATTGGGTGGTCCTATAACTTTGGATACAAATCAGGTCGAATCAGGTCAGGACATCCTATGCTTCCCGGAGGATGATGTAGATGGTATGTAGGCCAGGAAGCCTTGGGCTTCTCCCTGGGGCAGCCTTGATCCTCATCACTGTGACAGATTGGAAGAGACTAAGGAGACAGGACAACTAAATATAACGCAGTATTCTGGATTGGATCCTGGAACAGAAAAAGGACATTAGTGGAAAAACTGGAGAAATCCAGATAAAGTCTGTGGTTTAGCTAATGGTATTGTATCAATGTTAATTTCTCAGTTTTGATAAATGTGCCATGGATATTTAAGATGTAACATGAAAGGAAGATAGGTGAAGGGTATATAGAAACATTCTACTATCTTTGCAACTCATCTATAAATCTAAAATTATTTCAAAATAAAAAGTTAAAAATCAAGTTCAGCCTCCTTAGTATGGCTTATGAGGTGTCTTTCTGTCATTCTCTTTTATTATAAATATTTTATTATCTAAGTTTCCAAATATATACAAAAGCCCAGAGGCTTAGCATAATAAATTTCTATGTACCCATCACTTAGCTTCAACAATTATCAACATTTTTCCCTTTTTAGTATTATCCTATGTGATATTGTGATATAATAACAAATATATATTTGGTCTTGTCCTGGGTCTTGGCACAAGAGCTTCTAAAACCCTTGGAATTTCGTGAGTGTCTTTTGTTATTCATAATAAGCCCCTTTCAACCATACCTGAGTCTGTGCTAATGAAGTGACCCTAGGTGGGCCCTTATTTAACTTCAGGGTGAGGGCTGGTTGCTAGAAGAACCAACCATGTGATTAGAGGGCTGCAACTTTCAGGCCTAACCCTCAACCCATGGGGAGAGCAGAGGGACTGGAGATCGAGTTAATCACCAAGATTCAATCAGTCGTGCCTACATACTGGAACCTCCATAAAAATCCCAGCCACCAGGGTTCAGAGAGCTTCTGGGTTGGTGAATACACTGAGCTACTGAGGATGGTGCACCTGGAGGGAGCATGGAAGTTCCACCCCACCCTGCCACCCCCATACCTTGCCCTATGCCTCTCTTCCATTTGGCTATTCCTGAGTTGTATCCTTTATAATAAACAGTAGTGGTTAGTAAACTGTTTTCCTGAGTTTTGTGAGCCGTTTTAGTAAATTATCAAACCTGAGGAGGGGTCATGGAAACCCTTGATTTATAGTCATGGTCAGAAGTACAGGAGGCCCAGGACTTGTGATTGGCATCTGAAGTGGGGACAGACTTGTGGGATTAAGCTCACTCTGGGTATTTAGTATCAGAATTAATTGAATTGCAGGACACTCAGTTGGAGAATTGGTGGGTGTGGGGGGAAAAAACCCACAAATTTGGTACAGAAGTGCTGGTAGTATAAACAGCTAATAGTTGGTGTCAGAAGTGAGATTTGCTAGACTGGCCCTGGCTCACAGAAATATGTGGTTTGGGAAGAGAAAGAATGAAAGGGTAGCAGGTGAGAAACCTTTGATTCCGGGTGGCCATGTGGTCACCCATGGTATGGAACAGCAGCTGTGCGGCAATCAGTTACTAAAGGTAAAAGTTACCAGGGGAATTTAGAATTGGATCAAACCCCCAGGGAGTTGGTTCACTGGATGTATAAGGAAATGCAAACTAATAAGAAAAATGTGAAACACATAATCTCTTGGTTATTATCTGTAATATTAAAATGAAATTTTAAAAGAGTTCTGGTTGGACTTTGATGCTAGACTAAGCTCAAATTTTGGGCAGTTTAAGCTTCGGCCACTAGCCTCAAAGCTGTTTACAAAGTGAAAAATTGAGGCCAGCCCCATGGCCAAGCGGTTAAGTTCATGCGTTCCGCTTCAGCGGCCGAGGGTTTCGCTGGTTCAGATCCTGGGGGCGGACATGGCACCACTCATCCCGCCACGCTGAGGCGGCATCCCACATGCCACAACCAGAGGGACCTACAACTAGAATATACAACTATGTACTGGGGGGCTTTGGGGAAAAGAAGAAGAAAAAAGAAAAAAAGAATATTGGCAACAGATGTTAGCTCAGGTGCTAATCTTTAAAAAAAAAAACTGAAAAGTTATGTAGGTACAACAGAAAGTCTCAAAAGCATCTGGTCACCAAGAAGGTAGTCAACATGAGGGGAGGGCAAAACCAAGAAACTACTGAAACCAGGGGGTGTAGAGTGTGAAGGAGTTCATTTTGCAGATTGGTATCATCAGCTTCCTGAAGACCCTTTACTAAAATGGATTGTGAGAGTGACTAATTTAGGGGTAATATCTTTGGTTTTGAATGCTGCAGGGTGAAAAAACATGCTTGGGTTGATACAGGACCCACAGCTCCCTATTAAACAATCACAGATGGCTGTACACAATCCAGACACACAGAAGGTTATTCCTGCGGAATAATCCAGAAGCTATCTAGGGGCCCAGTAAGAGTCACTTCATTAGCATAAACTCAGGTATGGTTGAAAGGGGCTTATGATCACTAACAAGAGCTGCTCCTCTTACCCCTATCATGAAGGAGATGCCAAGGGTTTTAGAAACACTTGTGCCAGGAACCTGGGACAGAGACCAAATACATATTTCTTATATCACAATATCACACACGCCAGCTTTTTTCCAGACTGTTTTAAAGCGCCCCCCAGACATCAGTCATCTCACTTATATGCATCTGTAACTAATAACGGGTTTTTTAAAAATGTAACCACCATGCCATTATCATACCCAATAAAATTAACAATTATTCTTTAATATCTTATAATACTCAGTTCATATTCAAATTTCTTCAATTATCTCAAAGATGCCTCTTACAGTTGGTTTGTTCTAATCAAGAAATAAATCAGATCTACACATGGCTTTTGGTTGTTACGTGTGCCATGTTTCTTTTATTCTATAACAGACCCCCCTCCCTTTTCTTTCTTTTTTATTTTCGTGCCACTGATTCAATGAGAAACTGAATCATTTGTCCTGTCGAATGTTCTTCACGTCTGGATCTGGCCGCTTACTTCCTCAGGGTGTTTTTTAATTTGCTCATCTATCTCCTCTAGTTCCTGAAAACTGGTAGTTAGACCTAGATGGCAAGGCCCTTTTAATTCGGTCCCCGCCAGCCTCCGCAGGCTGATCTCATGCCACTTCCTGCCCCTTCTCTACCCTGCAGCCAGCTGCTTCTAAATGAAAACATCACACTCTCTCACTGTGGAACTTCCCTGCTTTCTTGCTCAACACATTCCTTTCCAACCTAAACATCACTTCCTTAGGGAGGGAGGACTTCCTGGACCCCCAGATGAAGATAAGCCCTCATATCGCCCTGGACATCCCCTACAGCCATAAAAGAGAAGCCTAGGTCCCTGGTAGGTTACGGGGAAATAGAACTTTGCATGACTCCCTTGGCTGGAAAATAACCCTTCCTTAAATTCCTGCCATCCACTGGATAAAAATATGAAAGGATATGGTTACCTCCGAGCCATAGGATTACTAAGGATTTGTTTATTGATTTTGTTTAGCTATATTGCTCATTTTTCTTCCATGAATACATAGTACTTTTGTAATAAAAATGTTTAATTTATAAATTTCTCTCTTTAATAATTTAATAAATACTGATTGAATGCACACAGGCTTTATGTTAGAGATGCAATGGGGAAAAAAGACAGGTAGTGGTCCCTGCCTCCAGGAAGCTTCCAGGCTGTGGCAGGGGTCAGTAAACTATGGCCTCTGGCCAAATCCAGCCCACCGCCGGTTTTGTATGGTCTGCAAGCTAAGAAATCAAAAGAAGATGACTATTTCATGATGTAAAAATCATATGAAATTCAAATTGCAGTGTTCATAAATTTATACTGAAATAGACTGACAACTATTTCTTTATGTATTGTCTGTGGCTACCTTCGTGATACAAACAGGAGGGTTTGAGCACTACTGACAGAAAGCATACTGCCTGCAGAGTCTGAAATATTTACTAACAGGCTCTTCATGGAAAAAGTTTGCTGACCCCTGGTCTAGGGCCAGGTTTTCAAAATGTGGACTTCTGTGATTTTGTGATTTTGTGTGGCTTGTAAAGTCCATTTAGAGGCCCTCAAATAGCATTCTTTTTTAATGAAATAGAACAGAATCAAAATATTAGGCGTATCACATGTAGTAAGAGTAAATATTGTGTGAAACAATTGTTTTGCTTCTATATACAACATACGCATGTATGTGCTGCATCATGATATAAAGTGTATTTCTTACGGTAGACGATGGTCAAAACATCTGGAGGCCACTGGCTTAGAGGGAGGCCTGAAAGAAACAGAGGAGTAACAGGAAAATTATAGTACAATGGGATTGGTGTGATGATGACAGAGTTAGAGACTCTTAGAGACAAAGAGGAGGCATTTAAGACACCCTCAGGGTGTCAGGGAAGGCTTCCTGGAAGAAATGACATTTAAGCAGTGACTTGAAGGACAAGTAGGAGTTAGCCAGGAAAAGAAGACTGACAGCATGTACAGAGGCCCTGGGGCAAACGGAAGCAAAGCCCTGAGAGAAATTACAAGAAGTTCAACATAGTGGGAGTTTAGGATGAGATGAGGCTCCCTTACCCCCTCACTCTCCATCACATTACTCTTTTATTTTCTTTGAGCACTTATCACAGTTATTTGATTGGCCCATCATTTATGTATGTTTATTACCCCTGCTCCTCCAACACATACGAAAAAGTAAAATCCACAAAAGGGGAGACCTTGTCGGCCTTGTTTATAACTATGCCCTAGCACAGTGCCTAGGGTGTCATAGCCACTCAGCATTTCCTAAGGGAACTGTAGAAAGATGTTCCTGCTATACTAGGGGGGAAAATGGACTCTGGGAGGGTAATACCTGAGAAGACAGACCAGTTTGGAAGTTCTGGTAATAATACAGGCAAGAGCTGATGGTGCCTTAATGTTGGAGAGAAACAGGGAGATCCCGGGCTCGTGAGGAGGTAAAAATAACAGGTGGTGATCAAATGAATAGATGTTAGGGCAAGGGGAGGGCTGGCTGAAGGGATGAAGGATGACCTCTGGTTCCTAGTTAGGGCAACTAGATAGAAGAACGGCCATCTGCTCGCAGTGGGGACACAAGAAGAAGAGGAGTGAAGTTAGACTAGTTGGAAGAGGATGAGAGAAAAGGTAATAAATTCAGAGTGGGACTTGTGAAGTTGGAGATGCTTGTGGGACCTCCTGGTGGAGATTCTGGCAGGCAGCGGATATGTGAGATGGAACTCACACAACTAGGAGAGTGGATGAGAGCCCTAGAGAGAAGGAGAAGAGGCCTTAACAGAATCCTGGTGAAGGCCAAAATGTAAGGCTGGTCAGAGCAAGGAGAGGCAGAGTTCCAAGGGCAGCAGGGAACCCAGGAGAGCTCAGAAACAAAGAACACGTGCTCAGCTGTGTCAGGGGCTGCTCACATCAGGTAAGATGAGAGTGAAGAAGAGTCCCCTGGACTTAGCAACAAGGACACAGAGTACGGTAGCCCCCCCCGATCCATGGGGATACGTTCCAAGACCCCCAGTGGATGCCTGAAACCACAGATAGCATCGAACCCTATACATACTATGTTTTTTCCTATACATACACAGCTATGATAAAGTTTAATTTATAAATCAGGCACAGTAAGAGATTAACAACAACTAACAATAAAATACAACCATTATAAAACAATATGCTGTAATAAAACTTATTGTAGATCTTAGCAACCTCAGCATGTGATTTTTTTTCTTTCCTTATTAAACGGAGACTTTTCACCTTTTCACTTAAAGGAAACACTTTGTGGCTTCTCTTTGGCATATCTGAATTGCCAGAACCACTGCTCTTGTGCTTTGTGGCCACTATTAATTAAAGTAAGGGTGACTGGAACACAAGCACTGCGACGATGGCCACTAAGTGACTACCGGGCGGGTAATGACTACTGCATGGATACGCTGGGCAAAGGGATGATTCAGGTCCCGAGTGGGACAGAGCAAGGTGGCGTGAGATTTCATCATGCTACTCACTATGGCACTTGATTTAAAACTTATGAATTGTCTATTTCTGAAATTTTCCATTTAATATTTTGGATCGTGGTTGACAGCAGGTAACTGAAACCGTGGAAAGCGAAACCACGGATAAGAGGGGGACAACTGTATTCAATAGAGTGGTGGTGGCAGACTGGAGAGGGCAGATAAGTGAGAGGGAGGTGAATTGGGGGGCAAGAATCGGACAACTTAGAAAATACAGAAAACACTAAAAAGAAAATTCCAGTGGTCTTCAATTCCAACACCCAGAAATAACTACCATCACCATTTTGGTATGTTTAGTTTTTTTGAGCAGAATGCACATATTTTTACAAACTTTTATCATACTGTACATAATGTTAACTAGCTTTCTTTTTTTTAATATAACAATGCTATGAATAGTTTTTCACGTCATTAGACAGTCTCTATTCATGGATGGCTGTACACTAGCTACTTTATGAATGTAACATACCCTGGCCCACTTTTGGACATTTAAGCAGCTTCTAATTTTTCTCTATTATAAATGAAGAAAGAAGCAGAAAGTGACCCAGCTTGAAACCAAACTGGGACCCAAGATAGTGTGGGCCTCCCTGGCAGCTGGGGAGTTGATTTACCTGAGATGCTTTGCGTGGCATTTTTGGCCAAGGAAGGAGGAAGACAGTTTGCAGGTTCTTGGGTAGAAGCATGGGGTGAGGAAGGCAACATGATTCTGTGTGGCGTGTGAGTCCCAACCCCTACGGCCTTATGGACTAAGATCTGACGTCTACAAGAGAGGAACCATAGGCAGAGGCCAAAGGACCCATGGGGCACAAAGAGCACAGCACAGCACCTGGATCTCAGGAAACAAAGTCACACACAGAAAGGGCTCCTCCTACTTCTCAGTGGACACAGTGTGGCTTTGGGGGGCACTGAGAACTCCAAAGAACCCAAAAGACTGGCTGTGGTACATGGATAACTGGCAGGTTTGGAAGCTGTCACTTTCACATTGGGAGCATTACACAGTTGAGACAAGAGCCAGCAAGTTACAGGTTGTTATTATTATTATTATTATTATTATTATTATTTTATTATTATTATTTTGGTGAGGAAGCTTGGCCTTGAGCTAACATCTGTTGCCAATGTTCTTCTTTTTGCCTGAGGAAGATTGTCCCTGAGCTAACATCTGTGCCAGTCTTCCTCTATTTTGTATGTGGGATGCTGCCACAGCATGGTTTGATGAGTGGTGTGTACGTCCATGCTGGGGATCCAAACCCAGAAACCCTGAGCCACTGAAGCAGAGCACGTGAACTTAACCACCACGCCACTGGGCCAGCCTAGAGGTTGTTATTATTAATGGCCTCAGTTAGTACCCACCTGCTAGTGAGGTCATGGGTTTTTTAAGTTTCCAAGTGTTTAGAGATTTTCCCATTATCTTTCGTCATTGATTTCTAGTTTCTGTCTGTTGTGGTCAGAGAACATGCTCTGTAAGATTTCACTTCTCTTCAATGTGCTGAGGTCGGTTTTATGGCCCAGGATACGGTCTATCTCGGTACATGTTTCACGAGTGCTTGAAAAGAATGTGTATTCTGCTGTTGTTGGGTGGAGTCATCTACAAGAATCGATTACATCCTGTTGGTTGATGGTGTTGAGTTCTTTTATATCCTTGCTGATTTTCTGCCTAATTGTTCAATCAGTTACTGAAAGGTAGGCCATGGGTTATGGATTTAGAGAAACCTGGTTTGAACCCAAGCATATGCAGATCCAGAACCCTGGAGAAACTCTTCTGAGAGCCACACTCTGTTGGCCTAGGATGGAAAGCGCAAAGAGCAAATATTCATATAACGCTTACTCTGTGCCAGACTATGTTCTAAGCACTTTATATCAATTTGATCCTCACGACAAACCTGCAAGTCAGTATTATTATTTTCCCCCATTTTACAGATGAGGAAACTGAGGCAATGGGAGGTTAAGTAACTTAACCAAGGTCAAGAGGGGTAGCCTGGAAACAAACCTAGGCAATCTGGCTCCAGAATATGCGCTTTTAACCTCTATACTACTGCTTCCTGGAAAACGACACAATTTCCCAGGACAGATACGAAAGGCTTGCCATGAAAGTCATTTTTCCCTTGATGATTGGCCATACAAAGAATCAGAAACACTCTGTCAAGTTTTCTTTGAAATACATGGAAGGATTTAAGGAAGGCCGCAGAGATAGATCCACGAGCTCCTGGTAAGACCACTACTCCCCCATCTGAATACTGCCCATCTCACCACGCCAGCGGGAGATGGAATGGAATATGACGAAATCCACAGCTTAGGAATGAAAATGAACATGGTGCCACTCACCACTTGCAGCTGTTGAACAGGAAAATTTGGCAAGTCTGACTTGAGACGGGCCTCAAGTACAAAATGCAAACTGGATTTTGAAGATTTAGTATGAAGGAAGGAATGTAAACTGTCTCATTAATAACTTTTTATGTTGATTACATGTTGAAAAGACATTTTGAATATATTTGGTTAAATAAAATATATTATTAAAATTTTTTTATAAAACAAGATTTAGGGATCAGATAGCCTGAGTTTGAATCCGAGCCTCCCACTTACTAGTTTCCTGACCTTGAGCAGGTTACCCAGCCTCTCTGTGCCTGTTTCCCCACCTGCAAAATGGGGATAGTAACGGGATTGTCGTGAGGATGAAGGAAAGTGACAAATGTAAGTGCTTAGGAGAGTTCTCAGCACGGTAAGTATTCAATAGATGTTATATGTTGTTGTTATTATTATTGCAAACTGCCTAAGAGACCCATTCTAAGACAGAGATGACAACTAAAACTAACATCCTACCTTTCACAAAGAGATACCATGCCTTACACCTCTGTTCATTGTAGGCACCATGCTAGAAGTTCACACTTGCCAGGGCATCCACTGTCACCTTGACTTAGCCCCGAATGACTCTATCCATCTGCTCTTGGGTTCAATGTCTACCCCTCCCGCACCCTGCCCCAAATCCTTTCACTGGACCTTCTGGAACTTAAGGTTGACAAAATTCCCCCAATCGTCAACCTCTTCTCTCAGTTTTCCCTTTGCCTTCTTGCTCTCATAGAAACTTGGCTCTCCTCCAAAGCCACTGCTCCCTCGCAACCTTTTGAAGAGGGAGGTGTTTTTTCTCCCACATTCCACATACTCTGAGGTGAGGCAACTCCCTGTTGTTGCTTCTAAAAAATTTCAAAACCCCAGCCTCTTTGAAGCACACAACAACAGACTATATATCACCCATTACCCCTCCTTGTTACAGGCA